TTATAAAATTATGTTGTTGATAACATAATAATCATTTACATTGTTATACTGATTTTTTTGTTATTATTATTTTGCATCGGATAAAAGGAAGGTTAAACTTCTTTTACACTTTGATCTTCTTGATAAATTTGGGAATGATTGATTGGAATTTAAAGGATAAATTTGGGAATGATTGATTGGAATCTGAAAAGATTTAAAGATAAATTTTTTTTGTTGTTGATTGTTTGAGTAAATTTGAATTTGAAAGATTTAAAAGTATTTTTTTACAGTGGTCATAGATTCGTAGGTGAGAGGAAATTAAGAGTGAATTTGAGAAAAATTATTTTTATTTAAGGACCTTACCTTATCTTTGACGTGTGTTTGGTTGATAAAAAAAAAGTTCCAATTTCTGTGCAATGCAACTTTGGTGATAAAGAAGCTTCGGCCTTGAGAGCAGCAACCTTCATGACAACATGTTGGTTTTCCCACCACAACTAACCAACCCATTCCCTTCCCTCCACGTCACCCACTTATCCACCCACCGCTACCACCACCACCACCACCATGCCCTCCCGCCGCCGCACTCCGCCGCGAACTCCGTAACATTTTCCCCCCCGAAACCAGTAATCGTAGAAGAAGGCCCCGACGACGTCCTCTCCTTCCACAACCGCCGCTACGACTTCACTCCCCTCCTCCACTTCCTCTCCAACTCGGACCCCAACTCGGGCTCCGACTCGGCACCTCCAACGTCCCTGGACTCAACCGAGTTCCAACTCGCCGAGTCCTACCGCGCCGTCCCTGCACCACTCTGGCACGCGCTCCTCAAATCCCTCTGCGCTTCCCCGTCCTCCATCAACCTCGCATACGGCGTCGTTTCATGGCTGCAGAAACACAACCTCTGCTTCTCCTACGAGCTCCTCTACTCCATCCTAATCAACGCCCTTGGCCGCACCGAAAAACTCTACGAAGCTTTCTTACTCTCCCAACGCCAAACTCTCACTCCCCTCACCTACAACGCCCTCATCGGCGCGTGCGCGCGAAACGGTGACATCGACAAGGCCCTCAACCTGATGTCCAAAATGCGGCGAGACGGTTACCAACCGGACTTCGTGAATTACAGCTCCATCATTCAGTATCTTACGCGCTCCAACCGCGTGGACTCTCCTTTTCTGCAGAAGCTCTACTCGGAGATTGAGAGCGACAAAATCGAAATGGACGGTCACCTGATGAACGACATCATTTTAGGGTTCTCGAAAGCGGGTGATCCAACACGGGCCTTGCGTTTTCTGGCCATGGCTCAGAGCAACGGATTGAACCCTAAACCCTCGACGCTTGCTGCTGTTATCTTGGCGCTTGGGAATTCGGGAAGGACGCAAGAGGCTGAAGCGTTGTTTGAGGAGATTAGAGAGAACGGGTTGGAACCAAGAACTAGAGCTTACAATGCTTTGCTTAAAGGTTACGTGAAAACGGGTTCCCTTAAGGATGCAGAGTTTGTGGTCTCTGAAATGGAGAAAGCTGGGGTTATGCCTGATGAGCAAACATATAGTTTGTTGGTTGACGCTTATGCACAAGCTGGGAGGTGGGAGAGTGCCAGGATTGTGTTGAAGGAGATGGAAGCCAGCAATGTGCAGCCCAATTCGTTTGTTTATAGTAGAATTTTGGCGGGTTATCGCGACAAAGGGCAGTGGCAGAAATCTTTTCAAGTTCTGAAGGATATGAAGAGCTGTGGTGTGAAGCCTGATAGGCATTTTTACAATGTGATGATTGATACGTTTGGGAAGTATAACTGTCTTGATCATGCAATGGCAACGTTTGAGAGGATGTTGTTGGAGGGGATTCAGCCGGATACCGTTACTTGGAACACGTTGATCGATTGTCATTGTAAGTCCGGGCGCCATGATAAGGCTGAGGAATTGTTCCAGGAAATGCAACGGAGGGGATTCTCGCCTTGCATAACTACTTATAATATTATGATTAACTGTATGGGAGAGCAGCAGAGGTGGGAGCAAGTGAGTGAGTTTTTGAGCAAGATGCAGTGTCAGGGATTGCTACCCAATTCAATAACTTATACAACTCTGGTTGATGTGTATGGAAAGTCAGGGAGATTTAGTGATGCGATCGAGTGCTTGGAGGTTTTGAAATCCACGGGGTTCAAGCCTACTTCAGCCATGTATAATGCTCTAATCAATGCCTATGCACAAAAGGTATGTACCTTGTTCCTCGGAGTCTGTCTCATTGCAAGTAGTTCAATGCTTGCTAATCTAATCGTTGCTGGTCTGCAGTGTATGCGCCAATATTCTGATTGTGTTAGTTTATGAACTGATTTAAGTTTAACTTTCTGCACCTTACTAGCTTTGACATGAATATTATTCTTTCATTTGGCTAAATTTTCGTTGAGTGAAGTCTAAAACTTCATTTGTCTCATACCGGCTTGCTGTTTTGTATTGTGTCAAATAACTCAATTGAAACCATGAAACCTCAAATTTCTTTTGTACCTGGTAACTTTGCATTGATAGTTTTTTGTTTCTTTTTCGAAAAAAACTGATGTTAAATTGAGGTGCCGACAGTCATCAATTGTATTTTTTCTGTTCTGAAATTCAGTGGTTATTTATTCTTCTTCCATTGAAAAGCATAATGCACTAATGTGGGAAAAGAGAGCAGGCTGAAAGGGCACGATATGTTTGGTAAATATTTGGCTAAAATTTTGCAGGGTTTGTCTGAACTAGCAGTAAACTCATTCAGGTTGATGACAACTGAGGGTCTGACACCCAGTCTTTTAGCTCTCAATTCATTAATTAATGCATTCGGTGAAGATAGAAGGGATGCTGAAGCCTTTGCTGTCCTGCAATACATGAAAGAAAACGTATGCTTTTCTGTCATTTTTTTTTCTTCCATTATGTATGGCTATACCCTTTTATATGGTATTTGACTTGTGTCTTTGGTCAAGTACTGATTTATTTGTTCATATTAACGGCAGAACATTGAACCTGATGTGGTTACTTATACCACTCTTATGAAAGCTCTGATTCGTTGTGAAAAGTTCCAAAAGGTACGTAATATTAGCATTATCACATAAGTTTGTTGTCCTTGTTCTTCAAAGGCAATTATCATAGATATTTTTTTGCACATAGTACGTTCCAAGTGTGTCATTTTACTGTAGTTCCCCTCTTCTGTGTTGGTTCGCAGACCCTATACTTGATGAATTAATAAATCGATGTAAATAACATGATTTCAACATATAAATTGACTTGGCTTTTGGTTGTTTTGCCATGTTTTTGGGAGATTAAGTTGCATTACGTTCCACATTATCCCTCCCTAACATTGATGATAATGTGATGGAGAAAAATAATAGCAACTTTGGAGAGAATATCGTAGCTTGTTTATTAGTTTATTTGTGACTTAATTCTCGCTCAAACTCTGCTGCATAATTTGGGTTTCAGGTTCCAGGCGTATATGAAGAAATGGTCACATCTGGCTGCGCTCCTGATAGAAAAGCTAGAGCAATGCTGCGGTCTGCACTTAGATATATGAAGCAGACACTGAAATCATAGTTAAATTATCAAGCACATTCTTTCATAAAGACAAAACAAAATCAAATTTCCTCACCTTGGTTATAATTCTTAAGGTTAGTGCAAGCTAACTAGCAGACTTGGCTTAAATTTGCATGACGCGGCGGGACTTCAATTTTGATTTTGAAATTAATAATTTCTTAGTAACTGCCTTGTGGATTTGGTGCTAAACCGTGAAATTGGTTGGCATTGTGTATAAAATTGGTCTGAAATTGGCTCGTATTAGTGCCTGAGTGGTGGTTGTATATGTTGATACATTTGAACAATGAGTCTGTTATATTTGTTTTGCTACGTTTACTTGGAAAGCTCAAATTGTGATGAATATTTTAATCTTTCAGGTTAATGTAACAATAAAATCACGAGTTCTGTTCTAGACTAGCATTAACTCTTCACAGCAGGTGTGATTGGGCAGTATCATTGTGAATATGTACGCTCCAATAGTGCCTGAAAGAGAAATGAAGTTCGGAAATCACGGGGTGGAGCGCAAAGAAATTAATGTCTTAGGTAATGCTGTACGAATGTATATCAATCGTTGGGATTTATGTATCATACGTTGATGTAAGTAACAAGTTATATGTTAAAATGCATATTTTGTTTATAAATGTGAGTTCGTGTAATTTAAGATAAGAAAATGGGAAGAGTGAGTAGGTAGGTACGCATGTCATTAGCATTGCCATGATTACTTCAGAGGATTGACAGAATGTTTGTTTTATCGATTGTTCCACGTTGAATGTATTTTGTCTACTTTCCAAGACCGAACATGGAAATGGTAAATTTTTTTTTTTTTTTCAAAAGCAACTAGTAAACAGAAAAATACTGACTCGTGCAATTTCTTCATGGGAATTTGGATGAATAAATACTATATATTTAATTTACGTGTCAATCGAATTTTACTCCTAGCATGTTTGGGTATACAATGCAAATTAAGTTTCCCACATTACTGAGAATAAAACTGTTAAACAAATATTTCCAATCGTTTACGCATTTGCGGTCTATTGCAACAGTTTACCAAATACACTACCCGTGTGTTTGTAACCCCATTCACGTTGAAAGTGTCACTATTTAAGTTCTTTTCACATGAACTTTATCATCAAACTTATCATTTTTTTTGTATATTTTAGCAATCTATTAAATTGATAATAGAATAGTTATTTGTTTAAAAAAAAACTTGGAAACAAAACAAGTTGAATCTTTTTTTCAACTTTCTATAACGTCTCTTAGAAATTTTAAAGACAGGTAAAATATGTATAAGTTGTAAAATTTAGATAAGAATTAAAAAAATAAATAAAACCTTCGATGATTGTAAAATGACATTAGTTAAGTAATAAAGTGTGCCATTGAGTCATAAGATAAAAGATTCACATTCAAGTAAAACGCACCCTTTTACATTCGTGTACAACAAAACTCATTAGTCCATGAGTTGGACGCATTAAAGAATTAGATTATACAGCCTGAAAGTAAAGGCTCGCATTACATAGTATTACAGACAACAATTTAACTTACAATTTTTTTTTCTCAAAATTGGATATACAATTTAACCTATGACCTAATTTTAGAGGGGAATAGAAGAAACCAATGGTCTACTACACTTGCTTTTTGAAATTCTAGAGCAGAACATGAACAACAATAACACTGAAGATAATAAAAATAACCTAAAATATGTTCTTATTTCTTGCATTCCAAGCTCAAGCACCTCCATCTTCTTTCCATATCTATTTCTTCTCTCCATCAAATACCCGTCTAGATATTCATCTATAGATACCAACTTTTCCAGTTTCAAAATAGGCGCTTTTTCACCAATCTGGAGCGGCACCAATTTGAAAATTGTAAAGAATGTCGCAGACCAGTCACTGAGAACTCTCTGAAAATGACAATATAAAATATTAGAATCATTAGTGTCCCACTTTTTCGATAAAGGAACAGAAAACACTTCGAAGGAATAGAGTGATCATTGCTTTTAGACAAAGTAACATACATTGTAGGCAGCAGGGTCGGTGGGATTGAACATTTTGAAACAGTCCTTTGATGAAGCTGTTCCATCTCCATATATCTGCCAGTCAATACAATAAGACAATAAGGACAACGCCTAATCTCAAAGGTTAAACGTCCAACAGAAAAAAAAGGAAGAAGTTCGGCAGACAAACCTCAAAGGTGAAAGCCATGGGTACCCCTACAACGTCATACATGAAATCAGTTGCTGTCCCGTGTGCAAAATACCTGGATAATCAAGTTCAAAACTTTAAGGAAGGAATGTAGTATAGATGACATTTGACGACCTCAACACCCGCAAGTACATATTGTGTACTTTGTAGTTTCGAAATTTATAATTTAAATTTTTAAAACTGCTATGGTCAATTTTCTCCTCTGTTCATAAAATACCCCAAAATGGGCATCACCTATGAACCAGGGACAGACGATAGAAGAAAATAGCTTCTACCACAAATCAACTATCCCTACAGAATCAATTCTGGACACAGCAGTACACTTTTTTTCCAACAAAGATACTTAACAGAAGAAAACAGATACATAAAATACAAACAATTGACCTTCCAAAAATTTTCATTAATCCTAATCAAATTCAGATAAAAATCAACTGACCCGACTGAACCGCCTCCAGACCCAATCATGCAGCGCTCTTGGCAATGATGATGGTTTACTTCTTCAAGAAACGATTTCATCCGTTTCAATGGCAACCCATCTAGTGTTGTGTTTTTATGATCGTATGGCATAAAAAGAGCCTACAGATAGAGGGAAGGGAGGAAGAAAGATCGTGAAAAATGTCATATGAAGTGATATATGAAGGGCTCCTTAACGTGTAAACCAAACTACTATTAACTAGCGGAAAGAGATGTTGTTATGTGTGTGTCCGCATTTTTTAAATATTTGTTTTGTAACATAAGTTAATGATGTTTGGTTATCATTACAAACTCAATCTTTTGGTAAATAATACATAGAATCTTTTATATTTTTTCTCTATTGGGAGTTTTAGTTGTTTGGTCAGTATCATATGTTATTTTGTTATAACAAACCTTGTTTTCATGTTTTAATTGTTCATTTTTACATAACAATCCTAAAAAGGCTTTTAATTGAAGCATCTTGATGGGCTGTCTATAATCAAGTTAGGCAAAAGAGAATATCAAGACTTTCCACCACGACTTTTGGCTGTATAAAAATATCACAAATATCCATGGATCCTTGATCTTAACCTTGATTCCTGTTTATGCTTCAAAAAATGAGAACTAGGTTTTCAAGAAAATAATTTGCTAAAGAAGAGGAATGGTACAAGAGTACTGGTGCACGTGATTCCCTAGATGAAGGATCAAATTTGAAGCTTGCATGGGGAGTGAGAAAAAAAAAACTAGAACAATCCAGTGGTAAAGGTTCCTCTCTTTACAAAGGCATGGGAGAGGACAATTGTACACTGTCTTCCCTTCGCATATGCAGAGAGACTTGTATTGTGAGTGAGACAATAAAAAATAAAGCTGGAACCACTGTCTAGTCAAAGGGATTTCAGTTGTCCTTATAGACATGCTTTGTGCATCTAGAAAGCCACTTTTTCATGTTAGCTCAAATTGGTTAATTCTTGAAAAACTCAAGCATTAGAAAGATACGATTGTAATGAACATGAGGTTGAAAAAAAGCATAGTGGCGTGTAAGCTATAAGGCTATAAAGAAATTGATGCAAAACACCAATAGAATAGATCGGAGCACGTATGAATTATGGTCAACAGTTCAGTTATATAATTCAGGTTCTGAATTAAAAGCACATATACGGATAAGAAATCAAAGAGAACAATAATTTTGTTCTTAGAGACAGGAAAAATGAACTAAACTTACCTCCATTCCGGAGTGCACATTTACCCATAGATGTGGTTCAAAAGATATAGCAAGTTTCCGCATAATTTGACTTTCAGGCTCGCTGAATGGAGCAACTCCAGGATTCTCCTCATATGGATCATAATCCTATGGATTTGAGAATAATAAAAATGAAAAAAAATGGACGCTTCAAAAGTATTAAACATTTGACACATTTCTGGAAAAGAAAAAGATCAGTGCATAGATTGGCAGGCAGACAACCACAAAGAGCCCCTCTTAGTGCCACAGCATGCAATATCAATACTACAACCTATCTATCTACTAATGGAGACAAGAAAAGAACCATTAACAATATTGTATATAATGAACTAAGATATTGAAGACGCAAAACGAACCTTCTCCTTTTTGCCCCAATCTACACTCCAATTTCGATTGAGATCCACTCCCCTTCCTGCACATTTCATAGCATAAACTAAGGCTTTTTCAAAGCGAGTCAATTATTATACACAAGGTTATAAAGGAGAAAATACCATTTCTTCTCTCACAGAGATCTCCACCTTCAACGACTTTGCGGCCATTCGGGTTTTCCATTGGAACCACCTGAAAATAAATAGGTGTAAGCATTATATATATACTACATCTCTCCTTTTACACGAATACATATACATTCCCATCTGAATCTCTCTCATAAACTAGCTTCAAGATATAAATAAAGATATTGTAAATTTCCTAAAGAAGCACTGTTAAAAGTTTTTCTTGCATTTGTTTCAACTTTACAAAAAAGAATATAAGATATGATTAAAATCAAAAAGTACTTTGAATAACTTTTTATAAAAATAAACTTCTTTTAAAAAACAGATTTTATAATGTAAACAAACGTGTTTTTGCTGATAAAAAAAAATAATTGTAAACAAACATAAATGAACTTCTACTTCTTTGATCGGCAAATAACGGGTTCTTAGTGTAAAACTTCAAAATATGAATGGAAGATACCTAAAAAATTATAATGATTATGCCTAACAGAAAGTGAAATTTTGAAATGTAACGCAGTAAGCCTGGATATTTTAAAGTGTGAAACGACCGGGATACTTCATGAAGTGCTCAGAAACTTTACTAGCATACGATAATCAAAATCGAGTTCCAGATGGAATGATGGATTTCACAATTACCGTCCGAATACTTAAGGTAGAAATTTCGACTAACCTTTATGACAAGCTTATCAAGTACGCTGTTTAAGGAAGCTTGGTCCATGCCGGGTAGAAGTTTTTCTTCACTTAAGATTGACAAAATCCTTAAAGCAAGTTCTGTGGTAATCAGCTCCCTTCCATGCTGCCCAAAACTCTGGAAGACAAGGAATCATCTGTCAAAAACACCAGAATAACCAATTTGAGATAACTATCCACTACATGCCAAATTATAGCTTTCTCCCATATGAACGTCCAGTCATAATTATATCATTATTACCATAATTTCCTCCCTTTTATTTAGGCTTTCAACGACTGAAGAAGAATCTAACGTCTTGCGTACAATTGTTTACAATATTAAAGTTTTATCATTAAGACAAATGAATGTAGAAAACTTACAAGTAAAATCCGAAGCTTTGACCTCTTATCTTTCTCTTCCTTTTCTTTGCCATAAGTAACCACGGTAATCTGAGCACCATAGCCTTTGTTTGCAGCTTTAAGGTTCTCCATCTATTTAGAAACATCAAATATAATAAATTATTCATCCTAGAGAACTGAGACACACGCAATAGGCACTCTAGATACACCATAAATGACCCACAGTGAGCTTATCCGGGTGACGGCGGACCAAAGCCCTGATCTCCCCCATCAAATTGCGACTGCAGAATCCCACAAAAGGGTTCAGCAAACAAATAAACAATTTCATAAAATCAAATGAGCTGGCCAAATAGCTTCAAAAGCATTGCTTCACCAGCAAACAGCAATTCATTAGCACAACAAGAGCATAATAATTGAGAAAGTAACTACATGTTCAGATTGACGCTAGATCATCTAAAATCACCTAAAAGTATCAGTTAACATGAATCAAAACCAATATTCGCATGTTAGATTCCACTTTAAGGAATCAATTTTGAGTCTAAACTTGATTGAGTTGAAGTAACTTCAGGTAACTTTTGCTTTGGATCAAAAACCTTATATTGAATTTTTCTATTAATTTGCATTGAGAGTAATACACGATTTGCAAAATCAATTTTCTTCGGAACTAGTTCTGCTCGAATATAATTTGTCAATTCCTCACCAAACACTCAATAAGACAAGTGCAATAAGGAACGCTGCCAAACAAGGAAACTTCCAAACTGGAAAGCGTCCTTCAGATTCATTCAACAAAATGCTAACCTAATTTTAACGGTGAATAAAACGTGATCTACACTACGTAAAGAAAACAAGCAACAAAAAAAAATCAGATGGCGAATTCCAAATTCAATTACAAAATTAAAAACAGACTCGGTTCGAACATATGGATGCTGAAAAAAAGTAGATCGGATGGTGGCATCGCGATGAGTTACCTGGAACGGTAGAGATCGTAGTTGATTGGCGTGACTGAATTTTGAGTGAGATTGTGAGATTGAGCGTTAGAGGCGTTCACAGAGAGAAGAAGATCTTGTAAAAAAACGAGGTAGCAGATGCTAATTGAGAGCAGAAGAAAAACTGAAAGAGCCATGGCAAGATCCAGAACAAGAAATTAAATTTCATTTCAGTTTTTTCATGGTAATGTATTGTTTGATTTGATATATATGTTATTAATTAATAATTAACTTATCATCTTTCTCTAGTGTGTGTCGCTGCCACCAAGGGATTACATTATTTCCACACCATAAAATTATCTTCTTTCTTCACTTTTTTCCATGTTCAACGGTCTCGATCGATCATTGTTGGTAGGTCACCTCACACATTCATTTATATATTTGTATTTTATAAGAATGGTGCCATTTGAACAGCAAAATGAATAATTTATGTATTATTGTGCCAAAGGAATGGGAAAATGTGAGAAAGATGTAGTGGAGTTACCCTAATAATGAGGATATATTTTAATAATTTGTATGACATTTTAACTTTAAAGATCATTTGTAGATTAAATAAATAAAAAATAATTATAAAAAATTAATTAACTTGGCAAAGAGAGATATAAAAAAACATTAGTTTTAATATAGAGTTTGTAAAGACTATGTCGTATTCTCATTAATAGTTTTGTAATCAAAACTATTAATTAATATATTTAGAAGAAGAAAGGTTACACAAGGAAACTCGTGTGATAAGGAAAAATACAAATATATAAATGTCACATTTATATTATAGGTATAAATCTTTATTAGTAGATGAAAGCATTTTAAAAGTTTGCTTTTAAAACTAAAGTTTTTCAAAATTATTCTTAAACTAAAGTTTTTTAAGAGTTCTCTTCATATTATATTTAACAAAATATTTTAAATGTATTTATTGACTTTAATTTCAAATTTATTTTGATTTGATTGTTAGTTCAAATCACGCTATCTTTTACGAGGAAAATTATGTACAACTAAGACAGACGTACTGTTGTGGAAAATTCTAGGTATTTAATGTGATTGTATACCCAAAATCCAAAACTCAAAATTAAAATAATTGCTCATTATTTCGCTTTCTTGACTCTTAATTATTTCTTATATATTTTAATTTATTTTTTTCAACTTCATCTCGAATTTAATCTTTTTATTTTGTCAATGCACAAAATATTTCTTTTTCAACTAAATTTTATCGTGAATAAAAAGATCTAACTAAATAAATTGTATTATTATTAAAATTGTAAAGATCTAATATGTTTTAATACGTGAAATATATTGTTTAACACATGATAATGAAAACCATTGTTAGATATAGTTATTTTAAGGTTAAAATACTAATTTATCAACATTTTTTTTTCAAATTAGTTTTAATATATATATATATATATTAATAAAATTTTAATTTTTGTTAATTTTGTTAATTTAGTAAAAAAAACTAATGTTGTTTAAATAATTCATCGTGTATGTCAGTTAGTGATTTTTAATTTTATTTTAATTACTTTTTTTAATTTAAAAATTATTCACACAAGTTAATATAATATCATATTTACGATAATAATAGTGACATGTGTCGGTAGTAACTTTATTTGTCAATCTTATATGTCACCTCTTATATTTAGTTTAGACTCTATTTTTATTTGATTCAATTTCTATTATTTTTAAAATAGAACAATTTAATTCTTTATAAATTAAAACCAAATTAAGATTCTAAGTTGAGGTGATATTTTAATTTATCACATCTTATTAGTGTCAAATTTCTTTTATATATTTTCTAAAAAAATATTAAAAAAATACAACTATATCAGAATCATTCATATTTTTATTAAATATTTCTAATTTAATAGTTAGAATTAGTTTTAAATTAGAACGAAAATTTTAAAAATAAAAACTAATACCATTGGTTTAAAATTTTAAAAGATTAAAAATTACTAAACTATTTAATACTTGATGTAAATTTTAGTTTAAAAATAAACTAAATTATTTAATATTTTATGTGATTTTTATATTAAAAATCATTTAAATAGTTTAACCTAAAAATCAATATAATATTTATATAAAATTAATTTTTATTAGAAATCAATAAAAATTACTTTATTTAAAAATAATAAAATTGAATTAAATAAAAATAATAAATATATAAATCAGATTGAATATAGATTGAAAAAAATCAATAAAAAATCTACCAAAGCAAACAAACAAAAATTAACCAAAACTAAAACACATAAATTTTGTATGCACTAAAAAGAATAATTGAAGTAAGATTTTAAAGCGAAAGATCATGGGTCAACGGCAGGCACACCACACTAAAACTCGGCAACAGCACAAATCAAACCCACCCTATCCAAACATCTTTATGTAAATGGACCAACTTGGGTACAGTGTCTTTAATGTCGCAGACCAATAAGGAAGATACACAAGCCAATAATAAAATAAATCCAAAGCATTAATTAATACTTTAATAATAATAATAATAACAGTAATAAATAGATATTATAGGGGATACGTTAAGATTCACTATTTCAAATGAAGAATGTGTGAGCCGTCTGATCCAAAATATGACCGTTGTAAACGCTCCAACATCTGTTTCAATTTAAACCCATTCTCTTGATCAATAAAATAATAAAAGGGAGACTACGAAAGGCACATCAGAAGACACTGTTTCTCAAGTACTCTGTTTCTTTCATTCAACAATCATGTATTCTGCTTCAACCATGAACAAGCCTCCATTGCCCAGATCTCCGTCGCGTCTTCGACCGCCGCAAGCTCTCCGATCATCAAACTCTTTCTCTCTTCAAACGCCACCAGGTCTTTCTTCTTATTCTTTATGCCCTGAATATTTTCTTTCTTTCTCGTCTTATTTACCCTTTTTACGCGTTTGATTTGAAGCAGGTTCTTTGACGAAATCTCAGAAGCCGGCTCTCTCTCCAAATATGCGACCGGAGTACCTCACAATTTCGTCCGAGTTACGGGCTCTGGCGAGGATGGTCAACGACGAAGTCAATGACGTGAATTTGGAGAAAGCGGCAGGTGGCAATTCTTGCGGTGTGAAATCAAGTGCTCTGTTCGAGAGGGGGAGATTCTACGAGGAGTATTCTGCTAGGAGGAACGAGAGGCTCATGAGAAAGAGAGGCGTAACTGCAATGGATGAAGTTAAGGTTAAACCGGTTCGCAATCTTGGGGTTTCAGTGGAATCTGGAAAGAAAAATAGTGTGAGAAAGATTGGAAGTTTGAGAAAATCTATTTCCGCTGCCTACTCTGCTGGAGTGAGTGAAACACCAAGGTACATGCTCAGAAGCATGACCAAGGAAAACAAAAAACCTCCTGTCGCTACGAAGTTTGAGAAATCGGTTATGCCTGGGGAGAAGAAAATGGGAACAAGAGCAAGGAGGATTTAACTGAAGGTTTTATTTCTATTTGGTAGGGGAGAAGGAGAACCTGATTTAATTTGATGTTAAAGGTTAAATCTTGTTCTCTCTCGTCTGGTTATATACTTTGTTTTTTTAGTTTGAAATAAGTGTTACAGTTATTTGAGATCACCTTCTCTCTGATTCACATATAATTAATTATATGGTAGTATATACATCATCTTCTTTCTGATTCATTATTCGTTGGATGATTTTCTTTTTGGATGTATTTGATTCTTAATTTTATTTATCTAATAGTTTACATATATTACTGTTTATCTCTTTTACTCGGGTTTCTTTACTTACTTGAAAACAAATTGAGTCTCCAATAAATCATCAATCAAATGACAGAATGTTATCAAATTCCAAGAACTGGTAGCCTTTGTCTTTTTCTTTAAATCTTGGAAGATTTTTGGGTGTTATAAAAAATCACTTTAATGTTATATGCTGTTTATGCTGTTGAAATTTTTGTTTTTATCGTTTACGGTCTTTTTGAGTTTGTAAGCCAAATCTGTGTTAAAAGCTAATATTTACAATCGAAAAAGATTCTCATATCCCTGCATCTTCTAGATAATATATACATGATTTTTGAAGAGCAAAACATTGTCCATCTCATTTCCCTGGATTCCATGCTCAGGAGCAAGTAAACACTAAATTTACCCCTCGTTCAAATTTCTACCTTCACTTCTCAGAAATTTTTTCAACTTCGGCAGAGACATCTGCTGGAGTTAATGTACGCTTCACCCCATCCAAATTACTGTTATCTTCACTTTTTATAGAAGCAGATTTATCAGGAATTTTTGCTACATCTGCTGCAGCAGAAGTGTCTTCTCGCCCAACTAAACTGTCATTGCTGCCTTCACTTTTTATAGAAGCAGATTTATCAAGAATTTTTGCTACATCTGCTGTAGCAGAAGTGTCTTCTCGCCCAACTAAACTGTTATTGCTGCCTTCTTCTTGGCTTTCTTCCACTCTATAATATACCTATCGAAATTTTTAAATTGAATTAGCGATTGGGTTTATAAGAAGAGCAAACAGAAAACCTTGACATGGTAACTCAAACTTAATCTGGGCACAAACCACTTCCTGATAGAGATTCTTCCTTTCATATTCATCTTATTATTTTCAATTTCCAGCCAAACTAAATTTGTAATGGAGGAATAATAGCATATGTATTTAACGAAAAAAGCAAAAATTCATTGTGTAAATAAACCAGACAAAGAAGGCAATAAAAAACATAGAATAAAAGATTTTAATGGGGACAGTATATGCATACCACGCAAGTACGGGCTGGGGAGAGGACCTTGAATGAGTTAGGGCGATTATTAAAATTTGTTTCGGGGACTCCTGGTATGCCTTCTGGAGACGTGAAGTGATCTACATCGTGCCCCACCTATAACAGTGGAAATGTTCAAGATGAAAAATAACAAGAAACGTATATTCAACCATCAAATAATAGCAATTGAATTGAGCTCTAAAAATGACAGCCCTATGCATGTACTGACCCTCGCCCCATTCCTCTCTCCACCTCTTAGCTATTCTTCAATACCATTTTCAAGGAAAATCAGGACACATTTTATGATTTCACTTGTAGCAATTCCACCTTTTCCTCGTTAGTTATTCTCCAACCCCATTCACACCCAGCTGAAATCACTGATGTAAAGTGCCACTTGTTTAATAATTCATTAGACTCGAGCAGAATAGAGAAGGTGTGGGAGGTAAAATGAAGTTTTAATGGTTGATATTTTAATTAAACATAAAAACTTAAGGGAAGGTCCAGTGCAATTTCAATACAATTTTTGGAACGACGGCATCCCCCTTGGACTGACCATAGTTTATATATACTCATGTTTACCC